CACACACACACACACACACACACACACACACACTCTCACACACAAACACCACAACCATGCACGCCCACATTAGAATTTAAACCAAGATCTTCTGCATCGTAGCTAAGCGTGCTGTCAGCTGAGATAAAAGCGTGTCCGGGTTCCTGTTTGATATGTTGTCATAAATACTATAATTTGTGGGTGGCATCGTGGTGAAATTATGTGCTCATCAAAATAATGGAAGTAAAAAAAATTGACATTTTCCCGCCTGTTGACATTTTCAAAAATAATCGTTTTTTACTCTACACTTGTTATGTTTATCTTAAACACTTTTCTTCTGTGTGGATTTTACTGAAAAAAGATGGACAAAGGCACAAAAGCTGTGAATTTTCATTGTGCAAGGACACTCAAGTTTTGGAAGTCACCAAACGCTGGTGGTAATTTTATCGCTAGTTTTACCTCATAGACCAGCAGGCAACCCCCATCTCATTCAATCTCAGATATCTGACTGTCATTCAAGATAGATGGGGACATTGTCATTAAAACGAAAATAGAAGTCAATCGAACAAGCTTCATGATGGTACCAATAACTCCATAATACCCCAAAAGTGACGAGCACATTATTCCACCGAAACGTGATCCTTTTTTTTCTTTCTTTCTTCCTCTTTCTTTCTTTCTTTCTTTCTTTTATTCTTTCTTTCTTTCTTTCTTTTACATTTTAGCTGTTAGACATTGCTTCTCTGACATTTCTGCTATAAAACACAATCTCCTGATATTATGCCTGTATGAGTTGTTTAGGTTCAAAGCCCGGCTTAGCTTCTTCTATGTCTTGTTCATATCTTCAGTTAGATCTTCCTCTTCCTCTCTTGCCTTATTTTACCTTTTGCAGCAAGAATAATAATAAATATTTTTTCTCAGTGACTCATAGCGTTTGATGTGGTCAAAGTAATTCCGTTTCAGTTTCATCACGTTCTGAAGGAGCGACTGCATTTCTAGGACTATTCTTCTTGGTACTTTTTCATTCTTTATTTTCTGTTAATAAAAAACAAAGTTTGTATTTTGTATTATAAATTGTGCATATTTTGTCCAATGTGTTCGGTTTTGTCTAATTAATCGTTGACATTATTTTTCCACAGCAACCATGATAGAAGAACTGGACACAGTGTTGAAAAGGTTGCAGTACTTCGCGGAACACATTCCAGACAAGGAATTTTTTATCTTCTATGGCAGCGAGCCTGGACAACGGTCAGCGTTCACAGCACGACAGGTCTACACATTGTCTGGTAGGTTTGCGGCCAGACTACACCAACAAGGGTTCCAGCGTCATGACGTCATCGCCAACACCCTGCCAAACTCACCGGAGCGGGTCATCACTGATCTGGGTGTCATGATGTGTGGGTGTACGCCGATGAATGGACAGGTGAGCTATACCCATGTTGTTGTTGTTGTTGTTGTTGTTGTTGTTGTTGTTGTTGTTGTTGTTGTTGTTGTTGTTGTTGGGGGGTGGGGTGTTTCTTTTCCTTAAAAAAATCGGGGAGGTTATTAAGAAGGGAGAAAGGGAGGAGGAACGGTCGAAATTGGGAGGGGTTACGGGTGTACTTTTGGTTCTAGTGTAATAGCCTAATTGTTAATTGATCTTTTTTTGTTTCTTTTTTGTTTTCGTTTGTTTTATTTTGTATTGCTTTTTAGGGGGCGGGGGGGGGGGGGGGGGATTTCTGGATTACTGGTTGCTTATCCAAAAACATACGTTTTAATCAGAATATTGGGCAGATTGCATAAGACAGTGTCAGTGTGATACGAACGTAAGATAATTCATGCAGCAGTTTCTCTGAAGACGAAACATTTACTTACAACAGTGGTAATTTTAGTTTGGGACATGCAAAATATATTATATAACCACCTCAAGCTACTTCGTAACTTCTTGCAAATGGACAGTGCGCGTGTGCGGTGACTTATTGTGGTGTCTTTATCATGGAGTTTTTATTATAGTTTAAAAGTCCGCGATCTGTATTCAAACTAAACATTCTCTCTTTGTCTCTCTCTCTCTGTTTCTCTCTCTCTCTCTCTCTCTCTCTCTCTCTCTCTCTCTCTGTGTCTCTCTCTCTCTGTGTCTCTCTTTGCCTTTCTCTCTTTTGTCTGTCTGTGTGTCTCTCTCTGTCTCTCTCCCTGTCTCTCTCTGTCTCTCTCTGTCTCTCTGTCTCTCTCTCTGTCTCCCCCTCTCTCTCTCTCTCTGTCTCTCTCTCTCTCTGTCTCTGTCTCTCTATCTCACACTCTCTCTCTCTTTCTAGGTGTTACTCGCAGACGGAGAAGATTTCTTCCAGTCTGCCCGAGTCAGTCGTTGCCAGGGCATCATCGTCTGCCCTTGTGACTCCCAGTCTGGCTGGAGACTGGTGAAAAGGTTTACCTCTCTGGGAGCAGGCGGAGAAAATACGACATCTGGTGATGGTCTTGACTTCTTGTCCCTCTCCTGTGAAGGTGTAGGCGCCCCTGAGTTAAAGACGGCGATTTCAATAACCGAAGAAAATTCTGGGTGAGAAATTTCAGTTGTTTGTAATTTGACAAAAAATAAAATTACCCTCGGGATACTATCAGGATACGGATTTGTAAAAATGTAGTGTAAACATTATTTCAGTCAGCAATGACTCATTTATGTCACAACTGTGTGACTGTGGATCTGTTTGCAAATGTAAGCTTATGTTATGTGTGTATATATGATATGTGTGTGAAAGAGAGTGTGTCTGAGAGAGTATGCCTGAATGCGTGTGTGTATGTGTGTGTGTGTGTGTGTGTGTGTGTGTGTGTGTGTGTGTGTGTGTGTGTGAGAGAGAGAGAGAGAGAGAGAGAGAGAGAGAGAGTGAGTGAGTGAGTGAATGAGTGAGTGTGTTTGTTAGTTGTGAAAGACCAAACGAATTTGGACAATAAAGATTGATGTTACTTTACCCTAAACGATGCAAACTCAATGGATGTAATTTTTAGGAAACGCGCTGCTGAACACCGCCAGTCAAGGCGAACCACTGCAGCCCAGAATAAATCCCTACAAAACGACGGATATTACTATTCTCTCCAGGATAATCTCCAAAATGTAGGAATCTACATCTCATGTTTTGCATGGATGTTTTGGAGGTTAACAAATATCTTGCCAGCATGTTATTGTTTTAACGCCTATAAGATGACAGCTTGCACTGTGTGCTTCCCATAGGACGATATTGTTTCTGGGTGTTTTTAGGATTGTTTCACTGTTTTTGTTTAAGACGTCTGGTGACGTAATGCATCCTTGTTTCACTACTCTTTTAATTTGCTTACATTCACTGCACTGTTCATCAGTTTTTACAGCAGCATTTTGATCCCAGTATCAATTTAAATGATTTTCCGACACTTTCTTTCTGTCTAGTTCTTCCAAAAATTAAAATAACTTTCCCTGTAGAACGCAATCTCAGGCTTTTGAATAATTTATCAAACGCTAATTTTATTTACAGATGTTTCTGCCCTTCACTTTATCTTTCCCATTAACATTGTTACAGTGAATATAGCATTTCTGGTGCCCTTATCAGGAACAAGCCGAATTGTGTTCTAACATATTTCTTAATAAAAACTAAATTTAGAAAGGCATCCATGTTGTTCGCTCCTTCTTTCCTATCAAACGCTGAAAAACATATATATTATACATTGATATCTTCAATGCCTCTCCTGTTTGTTTGTTTTTATCTAAAATAAAATTACTCTCTGGTAACACTTCTAATTTTCGACACTTCATGACATGAAACAAATTCTTTGCAGTTGCCTTAACTCGCTAACTAAAACTATAAACTCTCTCTACAGATCCAAAAAATCATTTTTATCTGGCCTGATGACTAGCACAGATGAACCTTATACAGGCCAGGTGGAGCCTGACGACGTTCTCATGGTGTTCACCACCTCTGGCAGCACGGGATACTCGAAGCTGGTTCCTCGGACACATAAGGAGGCCATATCATTGCACATAGATTGCTACGGAGAGTTCGACGAGGAGGAGATTAAAAAGCCAAAAGCAGCCAGATACAGTGACGCTCGGCTTGGTAAAAAAAAATAATTATTTATTTATTTATTTATTTATTTATTTATTTATTTATTTATTTATTTATTTATTTATGTGTTCATTTATTTCATTAATTTAATTGTTACTTTTTACTCTTTATATTTGGGCCTTTGCGCCCTTTGAAGTAGTTCGTTCTCAGTCGTATTATACAAAGGTATCTTCCAGCAAAAACAGACACTTCGATTCTAACACGACGAAGAAGTGTATGTCATAGTGAGTATGTATGAGTGTGTGTGTGTATGTGTGTGTGTGTGTGTGTGTGTGTGTGTGTGTGTGTGTGTGTGTGTGTGTGTGTGTGTGTGTGTGTGTGCGTGCGTGCGTTTGTGTACGTACGTGTATAAATCAGATAGATAGAAAGAGAGTGGGGAGATAGAAAGAAAGAGAGAGAGAAAGAATGAAAGAGAGAGAGAAAGAATGAGAGAGAGAGAAAGAGAGAGAGAGAGAGAGAGAGAGAGAGAGAGAGAGAGAGAGAGAGAGAGAGGGGCAGACAGACAGACAGACAGACAGACAGACAGACAGAGAAAGTTTTTTGTTAAAATTATTTGGATAAACTACTAGGGAAAAGAAGTGATTGAGGGGAGAAGAAGATAAACTCGGGGCGAAAAAAATTAATAAATACAAACACCTAGATTAATCAGTACTTTAACAATAAAAGTATACATCGAATCTCATCTTATCCAATCTAGTCTCACCTCGTCTCATCTCCTCTCATCTCCTCACCTCATCTCACCTCACCTCCTCATCTCATCTCACCTCACCTCCTCATCTCATCTCATCTCACCTCACCTCATCTCACCTCTCCTCATCCTTTCTCATTTCACTTTAAACTCATCCTTTTTTGTCTCACCTCGTATCATCTAATCTCACCTTGTACCATCTAATCTCACCTTGTACCATCTAATCTCACCTTGTATCGTCTAATCTCACTGAAGGCTGGGCAGGAGGCTACCCCTACGTCACGTACATCCTAAGCACGACACGAGTAATGAAAAACTATTTGGTTCCACAAGACGAAACAAAGCATGCCCATGCCATCTGGACAGCAATCTGCAATGAACAGTGTCCATCTGCCAGCATCCAGCAAGTGGATATTGATAATGTTCTGAAATTTGCTGAAACATCAACTGACTTGGACGGCAGTAAGCTGAAAATGTTGATTTCCTCGGGTCGCCCATTGAATAAGGTACTTCATTTATTTATAGCTACGTTATTGAGTGGGGTTTTTTTTCTTCGTTTCCATATGCAGTCCCCACTTGCTTATCCCGCAAGTTGTGAAGGTGTCCCTAAAAGAACGTATCTTCTACCATCAATGTTATTTTTAATTAAAAATTTTAGACTTTGCAAATACAGTCGAACATGTTCTAAAGGCCACGTGTACAGTCCCATGTACACACTGCACCACTTCCTATTTCACTTCTTTTGTTTATTGATTGTTGATTTAAAAAAACAAAAAACAATACAATGACACATTGTAAGACGGCCATATTATTTTTAAGACGGCCACTTCTCTCATCGTGTTATACAATTTCAGCTAAATAAATGATTTCATAATTAGAATATATAACCCGTCCCCTCCATATTCCTTTTCCATGCCTCATCCTCACCCCCTCACCCCCTCACCCCTGACCTCTCCCCCGCCCCCCCCCCCCTCTCAATCGCCGCTACTGTCGCGGTTGGTTGGTTGGCGCTACCGGTAGGCTCTACATCTTTACTGTCTCCCAGTTGTTTCCGTCTGTCCAACATATGACCTTAGCAGTTGCGAGCGCCGTAAAACCTTATACTACTACTACTACTACGTCTGTCCATCTGTCTTACCTTTTCCTAGAACTAAATGACCATTATTGTGTCGATGTGTTTCTCATTACTTAAACAAACACAAACAAACCAGTACTGTCTTCCCAATCACATCTATTTGTGTAGTGTCGAGGAGAGATCAGGCGCTCGTCAAAAGTAATAAGATTGAAGAAATCGACATTGTTTTCGCCCGCTGGGCAATTTTTGCCGAATTTTGTTTTTGGCTTAACACATTTTATTTACAACTCATTTCTGTGTGGATTTTACTGAAAGACGTTGATCAAGGGTGCGATAAGCTGTGAATTTGGGTTTTTCAAGGCAACTCAAACTCTGGTAGTTAACAAACTTTGACGGCCATTTTCTCGTTAATATTACCTCTGACTCCAAGCAACCCCCACCTCTTTCAATCACAAATATCTCGAAGTCTATTCAATATAGATGGATAGATCTACTTTAATCAAGAACAAAACATATGAAAAGGCTTTCCGGTGATACCAATAACTTTATAGTATGCCCTACCCCAAAAAGTAACCAGCTCCTGATTCCACCGCGTCATGACACACGTCATGACACAATAATTTCCTTTTCTCACACGACTGAACCATCCAGCGCCAGGTCCGAAAGATGCACAAACTGTCAGGGCGTGTAATGGTCGGGTACGCAGCGACAGAGTGCGGCCTTATTGCCATGGGCTGTGCATTTGGTATGTACTTTGACTTTTTCAGGATATTGGTTTTGTTCTCTTCTTTTTTATAAGCTATTTTTTTTTCATTTTAATGACTGGTTCACTTGCATTGATTTTTTGTTTTGAACGGTAAAGTCGATTGTTCCTTAACCATGTATCTGGCTTAATAAATAAATTGATATATCGATAGATACGTGTATAACGATAGATAGGACAACAGATTAACTGATTCTTTGACTGGTTGGTTGGATGATTAGTTGGTTGGTTAGTTGGTAGATTGGTTTGTTGATTATTTTTTCTGTTGGTTTGATCGATCGATAGATCGGTTGATTGATTAATGGATAGATGGATGGATGGATGGATGGATGGATGGATGGAGGGATGGATGGATGGATGGATGGATGGATGGATGGATGGATGGATG